ATATTTAGCTGGTTTAAAGTTATTAGGACTTTATTGACTTGATGCAAATTGCAAATTAGGTACCCTTGATCCCTCCTTTTTTAATTGTTTATGAAGGCAGTCCTTAAAGGACCGATACATATGTGAGAAACAAAGGATAGCTGCTGTAAAGTTAAAAACAAAGCCATAAGATTGGGGTTGATCCTGGGCATGATGTAAGTACCTGTAAGATTAAAAATAAATTGGCACACATAATGAGAATCAGAGATTAAGTTAAAAATCTGTTGAGAAAAGGTGTGGAAAGCTAAAATAGCAGCAGATAATTCTGAGCGTTGTGATGAGGATTGCACTGCAATGTAGACAGATAATATGAAATACAGCCTATATATTCAGCATTGAAGAGATAAGTTATTCTGAAAATAAAATTGAAAATCAAATTTTGGGATAAGAAGAAAAATATTAATTAAATCAGTCCCATTTCAAGGACAAGCTTGATTGTGTCCTGAGGTTATTTCAGTAACAGCCTGGATAAAAGATAAAACATTTTGTGATGGGATAAGTAAAGCCATTCAATACAATATACTTTTTGCGCTTCTAACACAGCTAATATTCCTGTAAGTAGTTTACTAGTAAGAAATATCAAAAGTGTTAAGTGACAAATTTTATATGAAATTCTGTCCACAAATTGAGTACTCAAGTACTTAATTTGCTCAACTGTGGTAAATGCTGCAAGTGGAACTACAAATGAGATCTCCAGGTTGTTTTCCTTTGGTCAATAAATTAAATTCCAAGTTAATCAAAGATGCAAACAAATTTCTATTAAGTAGGTTAAACATTTACAAAACTTAAGTTTTGCTAGCTGAAACTGCAAGAGCGGGGATTAAATTTCATCTCCATTCACAAACTGGAATTCTAAGCAGAGAAGGGAAAAAAAAGTTTAAAACGAACAGTTCCCCCCCCTTCTTTCTTTCTTTTGGTCTCTCTTGCTCTTAAAGCAACACAGCCAGTTGAAAAACAAAAGAGACAGGAAAAACATTTTTTTACAAACTTCTCACTACTTCTTTTTGATAACAAAAACTGGAGTGTTCCATGGATTAGTGGAAGGGGCAATGTGTTTGACTTGTAATTGTTCTTGAACAAGAATTTTTAAGGCCTGTAATTTGTACAGAGGAAGAGGCCATTGTTCCACCCAAACACGGATAGTAGTTAACCAAGTTAAGGGTAAGGCAGACACTTTATTCATCGAAGGTGACAGTAGCCCCCCATTTACTAAGCAAGTCTCTTCCCCAAAGGTTGACATGAATGTCAAGAATGAAAGGACGAAGTTGAACAGTTACAGTAGAATTAGGAAGACTTGCAGAAAGAAATTGTGTACTTTGTCGTGCACCTTGTCGCCCTCCTACACCCCAGACACTAGGGCATGGGTCAGTGGGCCAAGATGCAGGCCAATCTTTAGCTGAAATTACTGAAACATCAGCCCCTGTATCAATTATGCCCTCAAAAGGCTTACCCTGAAAAAAGACTGTCTGACGGGGTCGCTGGGTGGTGATTGGGGTGGTTAATGCAATTACAACAGATCTGTGGAACCAAACCTGCCGTCCCCTGGATCCCTATCACGACCCCCTGCAGGGACAAAATAGGGCAAATGGAGTAATTGTGCAGGACTAGTATTACTTGGCAAAGTCTGTGGCATGTTAGTCCATAATTGAATAAAGATGACACCTGTATAGTCAGAATCAATTACTCCAGGTATTACAAAAATTCCCTTTTTTCCCATGCTAGAGCGAGGCAAAATTAATCCAACATATCCAGAAGGGAGAGGTCCAGAAAGTTGTGAAGGAATAATTTGTACTTCTCCGAGAAATTTGAAACATACTTCTTGTTGGATAGTTAAATCTATCCCAGCACTCCCTCTAGTGGCAGCAGGGCTATTGTTAATTGTTGATGGAATTACTGAAGGGTCTCTGTTTGGACCGGGGCCAGAGACCGGCCCGCTTTGAAGTTTCCCGACCGACATTCATTAGCCCAATGAAATCCCTTATTACACTTAGGGCATTTTATTTTTGGACGTCTCCCAGCATTATTTTTAAATGGTCGGGAGGCATACTTTCCTCCCCCAGGATTTCTGCAATCCTGTTTAAAGTGTCCAATTTTACCACAATTATAACATTTCCCCTGAGGTTTTGTAAGAGCTGCAGCTAAGAGATTAGTTTGAAAAGAAACAGTCCCAATATCCTGACATGCTTTTATCATTTCTGCTAAATCTGGTTGAGCTCCCAATCCAATAATGGCCCGTTTACATTCAGAGGTGGCATTTTCTTTAGCCAATTTCATAAGCAATTCAGCTTGGGCATCAGGATTATCAATTTGTCGTCTCAAGGCATCTTGCAGACGGTTAATAAAATCTGCATATGGTTCATTTGCCTTTTGACGAATATTTGAAAATGCTTGAGATGGTTTCCCAGTTATAGGAACTTTTCCAAAAGCTTTGTAAGCACATTCAGAGGATATTTGAAGAGTAGCTATAGGCAAAACAATTTGTGCATCCACTGGAGTGTATGTTGGTTGCTGCTTTCCCTCGGAAGGGGATGTCCCAGTTCAAGGCGCCATTTGTAATGATGCTAAGAAAAAGACTCAGGCATGTCTTGGGCAGAAGTTTGAAGCTGCATGACACATCTTCACACAGCTTGACAAACTCTGAGTTTATTGTTTCTTATATACTTTTTACATACATAGGCTTTTCCATTAACTGCTGACATTTTACATTTAGAAGTTTAATCTTTAGTTGTTGACATAAAGTAATTGAAAAATTCCTTCATATAAGCAATTATTTTCTAGTAACACATTACCTGTTGAGAGCAGGTAAAACAAATATAGGTAAATTAGGAAAGGAGAAAGAACTGATAAAGACAAGAAGAGATAAAGACAGGAAGAGATAAGGGGGAACTTATTATTTAGGTAGGTAAGATATTAAGTCAAAAGGGGGTGATCTTTTGGCTACTTCCTTGGGACAAAGGGTATCAAAAGGTTATGAGGTTTGTGGGGAGCAGTGCACGGCAGTTTGCTGCACATGCAAATTCCTCCACACAAGGTGTTCAGGACTTGCTGTGCCAATTATTCCCAAATGCCATTCCTCCATGTAACTGACTGATTACATTACAAATGAGGCAAGAAAGGAACCCTTACAACGAGTTTCCACCCTCCCCCCTTAGTCTTCCACTTGTTTTGAAGTAGTACCATAACATTATATATCAATGGAAAGATAATTTAATCAAGAATTTAATGCAACAAAGTTTGTTCAATTATCTGTATTCTATGAAATATTATAGACAAATAACCAGAAAAAGGAAGCACAACTTGCTTAGGTGGATATCAGGTAGCTTTCCTTCATCTGATTGTAGCCAATGAGCATGAGTATTTAGAGAGCCAATCAGGTGTCATCTTGTTTTGGCAATGAGCCAATCAGATCACAATAGGATTCAGTTATCGATATCATGTATTGAAGCTGAGAGGAGGACATTTGTCAGTGTGTTATGTGATCATTATCAAGTTGTTTGGTTTTTGTGTATGTGTGTTATTTCATTTAGTGAGCTTGTAAAACGTAATAAAAATTAAAGTAATGGTGCAAAGAGTTGACTGGTTGCCCAGAAAGCAATGTAAAATAGTATTAAATTAACAAGGCTACAATTATAAAGAAATTAGAAGAAAATTTGGTGGAAACTTAACCAAAGGTGGCATTTCTAAGTTTTTGAAGAGGTATAAGGAGACTCAGTCACTACAGAATCACACTGGTAAAGGCAGGAAAAGGTGCACAACAGCAAGTGATGATAGAAGAATTAAGAGACTGCCTACGTGACAGAAGAAAATAATCTGGGTGTATACAAGATGAAATGGTGTAATGCAATGTGAAGTTGAGTGCAAGGACTGTGCAGCGCAGACTGCAGGAATTTGGCCTAAAATCTAGAATTCTACGAAAAAAGCCACTTTTATCTCTCAAATAAAGGTTGAAAAGACTAAACTGGGCTAAAATCCATGTTACCTGGACAGAGGAACAATGGGACAGTGTTATTTGGAGTGATGAGACCAAGATCTCCCTGTTTGGTAGTGATGGCATAAAATACGTAAGAAGAATCGGAGAAGATTTGCATCCTGATTCTATTACATGTACTCTGAAACACCCAGTCAGTGTTATGATCTGGGATTGTATGACATCAAAAGATGTGGGCAGAATTTGTGTGATTAATGGATATATAAATGGCCAAAACTACATTAATGAAATATTTGAGCCCAAACTGAAGCCTTCCGCACATGATTTTTTCCAAGACAATGAAGCATTTATATTTCAACAGGATTCAGCTCCATGTCATGTTGCTGCTGTGTGCAAAAAGTGGTTTCAAGATAATCATATTCCACTGCTAGAATGGCCTGGGAATAGCCCAGACCTTAACCCAATTGAAAATCTATGGAGCCAACTAAAAAACTTGTTAGTCAGAAGCAACCCAGCAATAAAACGCAGTTAACAGAAGCAATAATTCAATCTTGGTTTCACATTATAACAGCTGCAGAACTAAAGGATTTGGTTCACTCTATGGGAAGACGTTGTAAGGCTGTAATTCATGCTAAAGGTTACCCAACTAAGTATTAACTGACATAGTGATAATTTTTGTATATTTTGTTTTTTCTGTGGTGATAACTTTTGAATATCTCATTTTTTCTATGGTGATAATTTTTGTATATCTCGTTTTTTCTACATGTTTCACTTTTCTTCTTTATAACTGGTATTCTAATAGCAAATCCTTCATAAAAGTTATCACATTATATTCTTGATTAAATTATCTTTCCATTGATATATAATTTTATGGTACTACTCCAAAAAAAGTGGTGTTATTAGTCATCAAACCTCAAATATACACTTTTCCCCAAAGGTTTCCACAATTTTGGCCACTATTGTAAGAGTTTCAATCTTATAATTCTTTGAAAAAGTTATTAAACTATGCGTGTCTTTTAACTTTCATTTGTAGAAGCAAAGAGGACAACTCGGTTTTTGAGTGGTATTCTTAATTTTCTATTCTTCTGTAACTCACGGCGTGAAGTCTACTTGGAAATCCAGAGTGCACATGTAAGATTAATTTTTGTTTTTTCCTTGTGATCTTCAGAAATGATAATTCTGACAAATTGAGAATAGTGTATTGCAGAAAGCTTATTCCAGCTTCTTGCATCTTTTGTTTCACATTGTTACTTTTCTGGATGTTAATCTGTTACTCATTATGTGTGATGAAATGCATTTAATGATTTTTTTGGTGCCACTTTAGTAAACAGTTTAGCTACCCTTGTCTAGAATGTGCATGAGATTACTTTTTCCTTCTAGTTTCATTTCTATTAGTTTTTATTATATTAAATAAAAACTTCAATAGTACTTTTTATAAGAAACAATATATACTAGTTGGGCTTTTTACAAATTCAGCCAGTTCAACAAAAAGCCAAACTTTAGTATTTGTCAAATTCTAAATAATATTAAACTTATTTGATGATCTTGAGCTAACCTTTAACTTGTTTTGCAACCTTCCTGACAGATAAAAGCGCAAAAGAAAGTAAAAGAGTTTTATGTAGCTTTTTGGTGAAAGGATATATAAATCTGTAAGAAAAAGGGCCAGTATAATCTGGATTCATTCCTTTTTTTCTCAGTAGTAAAACTATCTTACTGCTGTCTCATCTTGCATATAATATCAGTTATGTTTATTCTTAAAACTAAAAAATTGGATAACTAGATTATTAATGAAGGAGAATATTTGTAGTTCAGGGTTGAAATGAGGGGTCCTTGATGCTCTCTGAGCTTGCTTGTTTTCTTGCAGATGTTTCATTACCCTAACTAGGTAACATCATTAGTGCTAGTAAGGAGTGCTGTTGCTATCAGTTTATATTCTGGTGTCTTGCCTGTCTGTGTGAGTGGGGGTGGTCTTAGGGATTTTTTGGTTGGGCTGTTTACTGATGGCTCTTTGGCAGTTTCTTGATTGGGATATTGCTTACTTGATTGTTGGTCTGAAGTTGACCTTGACCAGGCCAAATCCAAAAATGCTAGGGAATTTCTAGAAGCCTGGCACTCTGACAAATCAGCCATCAATAGACATATAGACATTAACAACATCCATAGGCTCTGCAAAAGAGACCGTTAACCAGCCCCAAAGAGAAAAAGATTCCAGCACCTCTCCATCAGTAATCAGCACTCGGATCAGCATAGATTAACTCCAAGGTCAACTTCAGACCAACAATCAAGTAAGCAATACCCCAATCAAGAAACTGCCAAAGAGCCATTAGTAAACAGCCCAACCAAAGAATCTCTAAGACCACCCCCACTCACACAGACAGGCAAGACACCAGAATATAAACTGACAGCAAACAGCATTCCTTAGTAGCCCTGATGATATTACCTAGTTAGGATAATGAAATATCTGCAAGAAAACAAGCAAGCTCAGAGACCACCAAGGACTCCTCAACTACATTACTATTTGGAATTCATCAATCATCTAGGCAACAGGTACTCAAGCAAAGATAATCCCACTTTTTAGAAGAATTATCCATATGCCATTCAAAAGAGATTATGAAACAAAAAGGGAACAAAAAGACCAAAATATTTCCTCATCAGGAATCAACCCCTAGAGGAGCAGAGAACACCAAGATTAACATTAGACTAATGATCAAGAAGCAAGCAGTACCCCAAATCCAGGAACTGCCAAACAAGCTAGCAGTAAACAGCCCAAGAAAATAACCATCAAGACCATTCTCCAGCACTGAAGATGGATAATCCACCAATGGGTTAACTTAATCCTCCTGCCCAATCAGATCAAGTCAGCCAAACTTGCCACGCCTGTCCTGGGCCTGTTTTTCCAGTCTCGACTTGATCTTGCCCAGAACAGACGTGCATGATTGGCTCACAGGCAGGTAGATCTTAACCTATTGGTGGATTATCTGTAGTCCTCTAATAACTTTAATATCTTCCAACAATTTCTAGTCCTCTGAGTAGCGCTGGGACCAGTGCTTCTCTAGTGGATTTTCCCTTCATCTGGTCCCCATTGGGATCCAGCAACAAATGGAGGCTTCCGTTTTTTTCCATTTCTCCCTTGCTCAGCACTAGAGGATTTTCCCTTCAGCTGAATCCCATTGGACTCCAGCAACAAACGGAGGCTTCCGTTTCTTTCCATTTCTCCCTTGCTCAGGACTGGGCTCAGTGCTGCTGCAAATCCCCCCCACTCCTTCCTACAGATCACCTCAGCCTCAGAACTTGCGGCTGCAGCTCCAACAGTCTTTTTGGCGACTGGATTAGCTCCGGAGAGGCTGCAGAGCCTCGTCTTCAACCGATCGCATACGACAATCTTTTTAAGATCCGGAACGCCGCGGATCAGCTAGGGAGGCCATTTTCTCGCCTGCCGCTTTCTCCTTCCGTGAGTAAGCTATTGGAGCCGAGGGGAGAGAACGGCGTTTGGGACGCGGCCACCATTTTGTGAGCCGTGTGGTCACTGCAAGTCCTTGCCGGCTGCACAGGGGGGAGGTGGAGGAAGTGATTCCTCCCCCCCATTCTACTTATCCACTGGTTTTAGCCATTTTATAGCCTCCTTAGGGGATCCAGTGATGTTGAAATCAGCTACCTGCATAATATTGCAGAGTCCCATCTTCCTACATTGTATCACAAGGAAGAAGACTCAGGCCTAGTCAGGAGCCCCAGCGGTTATGGCTGCCATCTTGGAGGCTTTGTCTTCCTCCCAAGGCTGCCATTTTGGAATATTCTCGTGCTCCAACTCAAGGCCTCACTGAGGCCTCCTCTGTCCAAGGCCCTTCCCAGGTTCTTCATAGCCAAGGATTGCCTGGGTTTTTTTTTTCTCTCTGGTCATCCTTAGAGACTCCCCTTGTGGCATTTGGATTTCCTCTTTCATTCCTTGGCATAGGCCCAACAGATTTCATTGGGCCTTCTGGTGTCTCAAGTCCTGGTCACCATTTGGCTAGCTGATTAACACAGCAGTTCCTAGCCTCTGACTCTGTATTAGTTGCCATCTTTTATATTGCTGGCCTGGCAACACAGCAAGCCTCACTAGCAGGCCGCAATCCACCCTCTGAGGGAAATTACAGTGGCTGCTAGTTGAACCAGTCTTTTGGATACCTCTGGTTCAATGACCGGGGGGGGGGTAGGGCAAGTCTTATTCCAGCCGTTGCCCTACACCCTTATCAGCCAATTGATCCTTTTCCCAGGGGTACCTTCTTGTGCGCCTGAAGTTTTATACCAGCATGGAGAATAACATGGCCTCCCAATCCAAGGGCTCCTCCCCTCCTTCCTCCGTCCAGAAAAGACACAGGTCCCCTAGCCAAGAGGCTGCTGGTAGGATCTCAGCCAAGGTCAAACCCAAGGCTGTCTCTGGGGGCAAAACCTCCAAATTGGCTGAAAAACAGGCCAGCAGGAGATACCAGGCACTGGAAAAAGAGTTTTCAAAGGCTCAAAAACAGGCCAGGGCCGAGACTGCTCAGTCTGAATCCACTTTTTTCGATTACCTCTCGGTCTCTCCTCTTCTGCTTAGGAAGTCTGGTCACTGGCAGAGCCTACTACTTCCTCTGGCCAGACCGTTCTTGAGCCTGACGCATATACATTCAGGTCTCTGATCACCCCACGGGTCCAGTAGGCCCCAGAAGCCACCTTCACGTGCACGGCCGCAGGGCTCAGAGAGGAGGAGGCCACCCTTTCTCCCCTAGAAGATAGACTCCAAGTCCTGGTGGCTCAGGCGGTGGAGCGGGCTCTTGCGACCAGGACTCCACCGGTGCATAGGGCGGATTCCTTGCTTTCCCTCCCTCTCTCTCGCCCAGCTCATCAGAGCTCTCACGATCCTCCTCCCCTCTCCCATTCTTCATATAGCGGGGTCTCATTAACCCCAGAGCAGGATCAGGTGCTTGACGCCTCGTGGTCGGAGGAGGAGGAGGAATCGGCCCCGGATCCGCTCCCATTTGGAGGTCTATTTAATCCATCTCTCTTTCTACCTCTACTTCGCAAGGCTAGTTCTGCAGCGCACATGGGACCTGACCGGTCCACTCCAGCGGCAGCTGCAACGGATTCTGAGGCGGACCCTGTATTCAGACCCCTCACTCAGATGGTGGATTTCTCCCGCCATGGCCAGAGGGTCTCTCTTCAAAGAGCCTGGTCGCCTCACGATCACGACGGATGCCAGCCTGTTTGGCTGGGGAGCACACTCTCAGTCACAGTGAGCCCAGGGGCGATAGTCTCGGTCAGATCTGAGGCACAATATCAGTTGGCTGGCCATACATCTAGCCCTTCGTCATTTCCGTCACAGCATTGCGAGACAGCATGTGTTAGTCCTCGCGGACATGGCGGCAAAGGCCCATGTGAACCGGCAGGGGGGCACCCGATCCCATGCCCTCCTGACCGAGGCCCAACTGCTGGGTTCCTGGGCAGAGGCCAACCTCGCCTCGATCAGGGCAGACCACATCTTGGGAGAGGCAAACAAAAGGGCAGACTTTCTGAGCAGGTCAATCGTGGACCACTCAGAATGGCATCTGCACCCGAATTTATTCAGGGAAATCACCCACAGATTTGGTCTCCCCATCATAGATCTGTTTGCCTCTCAGGCAAACACACAACTCCCGCGATTCTTCTTGCGCTTCCCAACTCAAGGAGCAGAGAAAGTAGATGCCCTTCAGGTTCCATGGCCGGAGAGTCTCCTCTATGACTTTCCCCCTCTCCCTCTTCTCCCAGCGGTCATCCGCAAGCTTCTGCAAGAGAGGGCAGACGTTCTCTTGATAGCCCCTTACTGGCCACGGAGACCTTGGTTCGCCGACCTCGTTGGTCTCTCCCTGTCGCGTCCTTGGAAACTTCCTCCAGACCAGGTATCACTAACCCAGGGTGATCTGATTCACCCAGACCCTCAATGGCTCCAGTTAGCCGTATGGCACTTGAGCGTTGGTTCCTATCCAGGGAGTCCTGTTCGCCAGGGGTCATTGTCATAATTCAGGCATCTCGTCGACCGGCTACCAATCGCATCTACGATGCCACGTGGCAGAATTTTTACTGGTGGTGTTCCACTCACCACTTGCCTCTATCGGAATTGACCATTCCAAATATTTTAGACTACTTACTCGAGGGTCTGAATAAGGGATTAGCGCCTAACACATTACACAGACAGGTGGCAGCCATATCTACATTGATTACCTGCGACACTCACTGTTAGTTCTCTGGGCCAACATCCCTTGATGCGTTCCTTCCTCAAGGGCACAACTAATACCAGGCCTCCTGTAGTCCACAGGTATCCCTCGTGGGAATTACCTTTGGTTCTTCAGGCTCTCACAAAAGCTCCTTTCGAACTCCTCAGTTCATGCAACATGAGATCCTTATCCCTCAAGGTAGCCATCACTTCAGCCAGACGTATTTCTGAGATGGCAGCCCTTTCAGTCAGGGATGATTTGTGTATTTTTCACCTGGACCATGTTACCCTTCGTTTAGACCCCACCTTTGTTCTCAAAGTCAACTCTCATTTTCATAGGGCTCAGGATATTGTTCTCCCTGATTTCTGCCCTAATCCTTCCCATGATCTGGAACATCAATGGCATTCCCTGGATGTACACTGGGCTCTCCGTTGTTATATCAAGCGGAGGGCTCTCTTCTGCAACTCTGAGGCACTTTTTGTCTCATTCCACCCTTCTTCAAAGGGTCGGAAGGTCTCAGCCTCCACAATCGGCCGGTGGATAAGAGCCTGCATTGCGGGGGCGTACCAGTCTGATTCCTTGCCAATTCCATGTCGTTTCACCACCCACTCCACGCGTAGTGCAGCCACATCTGCAGCTTGGGCCACGCAGGCTTCCATTGAGGAGGTGTGTGGTCTTCCGGCATTACAAGCTGGACAGGCACGCATCCGCCAAGGCTGCCTTTGGCAGAAGGGTCCTGCAACAGGTGGTGCCCCGTGACATGGTTCCAAACTTGCCCGCTTCCCTCCCGTAAGGACAGTGGGCTTTGGTATGTCCCACTGGTGGATTATCCATCTCCAGTGCTGGAGAAGGGGCGTTGTCTTACCTGAACGCCATTTCTCAGCACGGAGATGGATAATCCACACCCACCCATTTAGGTCCTTAGGCCTAGGGTTAGTTCTGTGAGCCAACACATCATGCTGTCAATCAGTAGCTGTGCCCTCATCGAGACTGGGAAAACAGGCCCAGGACAGGCGGGGCAAGTTTGGCTGACTTGATCTGATTGGGCAGGAGGATTAAGTTAACCCATTGGTGGATTATCCATCTCCGTGCTGAGAAATGGTATTCAGGTAAGACAATGCCCCCTCTCACCAATACTGACAGAGCAAGCCACTAGAATATAAAACAAGAGCAAACCACTCACCACTAGCACTGATGATGGTACCTAGTTTGGGTAAAGAAATGTCTGCAAGAAAACAACCAAGCTCAAAGAGCACCAAGGACCTCTCACTTCAATCCTGAGCTACAAATATTCTCTAAAAGTTAAATTACTTTGCTGAAAGTTCTCCTATCCTCACGTTTAAAGAACATTCATCTGCTTAATACTCTGGCCTGCTGAAGAAAAAAAAGCTTTTTGAGATGTGGATCTGCTGTTATTAAAAAAGTGACATTTCTCTCCCTTTTCTGTCTAGTTTAATTAATCACGGAGACACTATATCTTGCTTTCATGTATCTGTAGCCAATATTGTCAGTTCAAACTTTGTGGCAAAACCTGGAGCTTTTACTGCCTGATTTGTAGCTCAGCATAAATGTATTAAATAAGGATGTACTCTGACCAGTATAATTTCATTTTATAGTCAGTTGCAATTTTTCTATAATATGTTGAATTGCATATAATGTAAATTCTTTTTCAAAGAAAACATCAATGGAGAAAGAGCAACAACTTCAGGTGGCAATCCAGGATGCAACACTGAAGCTTGAAAAGATGGAGTAAGATAACTTGAATAAGTTCCCCATATTAAAATTATTAAGAATCAGTTCATAGGACTGAAGAACCTTCTATCGGGCATAGAATTTGTAATCTCATTTTGAAGAATGCATATCTGAATTCTGCTTAATATGCTTTTCACATGGATTCTCTTGTTAATGGCATTTGAATCAAAGATTTGCCATAGCATGTTGTTACAGGGAGTGTTGTAAATTGACTCTGGATGTTCAGTGCTTAAGACTGTTGATAAACAGGTGCTGCTAGGGAGTTCTTTTGAAGTACTTCTCATAAGGAAATTTGGGGGACAGTCCTTCAATAGGTTTGTTCTTTGTTACTTCTTGTCACTTATGGGAGATTATATTTATCTGTAGTAAGCGTTATAATATGAAATTAAAGCCTGCATGACATGATGAGTCAGGACATGGTCGGAGAAAGGAAATAGTGATTTCTTTCTATGTTTTCTCAAATTTAATTTATTTCTTCCAAGGAGAAAGTCACTAAGATTTCTTCTCCTCCAGTTTTTCCATTACATATACTTATGGTCTTTCTGCTCATACCTCTTAATGGATAAGGAAAAAAAGAAGAGCTCCTTATTTGTGTGTGTGTGTGTGTGTGTTTGATTCCCAATGGAAAGCATGGTTGAAATGTTTTGGGAAGGACACATTCTCACAATGGCTCATTGGAACCAAATTGGTTCTGTTTCTATAATATAGCCTCAACATTATAGGGATTTGATTTCAGTTAAAAAAGGAATAAGATTGTGCTTTTCTTGGGCCAAGTTCCTGGAGCTCCAGTATGGTGGTCTCCCATGGAAAATGAGACACGCATGCAGGTATCTTGGGATGGGAGCCCAGAGCTGACTCCAACACCCTCTTTTATTGTTACTATGGTTTTTACATCACACAGCGTAAGCAAAAGACGTATATAGGGGTGGTTACAATGTATCGCATAACAGACACTCTCCAGATGCAAGGCTACGCAGGTGTTCTTATCAGACTCTATCCAAATGGCTGATAAATGTATCCTGTCTCTGGAGCAGTCCGTTTGTTATCTCAAGGCCTTTGTGGGAGCATTTCTATGGGTATATTTGTGCAATTAATCCCACACTCCAGTCACCATTTTAGGTGCAAATAACAATTGAGTTCCTTGCCTAGATGTGGCTTGGGGTCATGTGTTTCTTTGTGTTATCATATTGGTTTACCTCCCCTGCTATTTTCATGCAAGATCTTTAAATTTCATCCTCTCCAAATTAAGATTTTTTTAAATCTTGTGTATTGAATTGAAATTGTCTAAGCAAATATCTATAGAAAATTGTTTTATATACATATCTAAAATTTTACATTAAATATTATATTATTGCAGAACTTAAGATTGCCAAATAGCTTCATCAAAAAGAAGCAGCTTTTTCTGTATGCTATATTTATATGTCAAATTCATTTTTCTCTAAACTGAGCACTATTTCTATATACTCAGTATTATTCCTTCAGACCAACAAGTAGAATTCAAGGAGCTGTCTCAAGAAATTCAAGAACTACAGAATAAACTCAACCAAGAATATCGGCAGAAAACAGTATGTGTTCTTCTTACTAAAGTTCATGTGATGTCCAGAAGCTATGCTATGTTTAGCTGTCCATTACATAACAGCTTAAGAGAAGTTATAAAATATATACAGGTAGACCTTGACTTATGACAAGTCTATTGGACTTATGACAAGACTATTGGAAGTGATGTTGGACCTAGATTTGAAGTAACGATGGTTGCAACACCCCCTCCCTAATTGCATTTATAGTTGTAGGCAGCATTTTGTGACCACAAAGCTTTTGCCAAAACTTGGCATTTACTTTTGGTTTTCAAAAAACTGTGACCCTATTGCAGGGCTTTTAACTGGTGGTATGATTACCTCTTGTGGTACTTTGGCAGGTGGTACGCGACCGTCCTAGAGAAGTGTAGTGGGGGAGGAGGGGAATGAACCAAAGCAACCCAAGCCTGAGGGAGAGGCAGCTGCAGCTGCAGGAGTATCTGAGCTTGGCAGAAGCCCCAGGAGCCAGCAGGGCTCCAGCTAATTGGCGCTTCTGGAAGCAGTGCGGAGCTGAAGGTGAACTGAAGAAAAGGGGGAAAGGAGAGGCTATAAAAGGAGGTTTGGGCGGGAAAGGAAAAAAAACAACATAGAAAGAGAAGGAGAGCTCAGCAGGCAGGCAGGGAAACAGGGACAGGGAAGAAACAACAGCTGTTGCTGGAAGAAAATGCCCCCTGGTTCATTTTTTCCAGCCGAGAGAATGCAATCAGTGCTGCTGAAATGAAAAGCCAGCAGACAAGCATGTCAGAAATGACGTGGGTTTATTTAGTTCTGGATCAGCTGGCAGCTTGATTGGGTTGCCATAAGGATTTTTCTACAGTTTTTACAGTGTTTTTGTAATTCCGAGGCTTGGTTTGTGTGCTTTGGTTATTGGAATATTTTAGTCTGTTTTTTAGGCTAGCAATGAATCCAAAGTGTTGACTTCCATATGTTTAATCCCTTTAAACAAATGTAATTAGTTTTACCCCCTTATCTTGAGTCTGTCTATGACAGGCATGTCAAACTCGCAACATCGCGTGGCGTATTGCAACTTTTTCCCCAGTGCCGGCAATGGGGTGGCCGCAGTGTTTTGTTTTTTTTAAGTTTTTATTTTCCATTTATTCAATTTTCCATTTATTCCATTTTGTATACAACATACAAAATACAATTTACAAAATGAAATAAATTCATGACCATTGGTACCGCCTGCCCATTCCCCCCAGGCTGCGTCCACCCTCTCTAAACTTTCCCTACTTCCCTCCTCTTTCTTTCCTCCCCTCCTACTCTCTCCCCTCCCCTTCTCCTCTTACCATCCTACTTCCTCCCTACACCTTCCTCCCCTCTCATCCCTCTCAGACACATTGACGCAGCATAGGGGAAATGCCCAAGCAGCACCTCTCCCATAAACTACCATATCTATATTATCCTTACCCACCCACTCACCCACCCACCCTCAACCCTCCCCCCCTCACTTCCCAGAGCAGAGTACAGGGTTATTAATAACAAAGTTAACAATAAAAAGAAAAGAAAAAAGAAAGAGAAAAAAATACATATCATACTTAACCTTTAACTCCCAGAATTCCTCAACCAGCCATAATGGCTGAAGAATTTTGGGAGTTGAAGTCCACAAGTCTTAAAAGTCTTGAAGACCCCTGAGCAGCTGGTAGTGGTGCATATTAATAAACATGGATAAATTCATCATACATTTGTCAATGCAAGGGGAAAGTGATTCAGCAAAGGAACCGCCACTGAAGAAATTAAAACTCGTACTTTTTCCCTTTTTTTCTACAGTTTGTAATATTTTATTAGATTATAGCAGTGGTTCTCAACCTTTTTAATGCCACGACCCCCAACCGGTCGTAAGTCGAGGACTACTCAACCGGTCGTAAGTCGAGGACTACTCAACTGGTGCAGCACCGTTTGCAGAATGGGACTTTTGGCGGGCTCAGCAGGGCAGAGACAGCCTGGACAATTCCTATTGGCTTTTGAAAGCCAACAGAATTAGACTCTATTCAAGAGAGTCTATTCTATTGGCTTTCAAAAGCCGATAGAATAAAAGGGAGTAGCACAACTAAGGAAAAGGGGGAAAAAATGGCGGACTGCATTGTTTGGTGACTCCCATGAAATGGTCGTTCGACCCCAAGTGGGGTCCTGACCCACAGGTTGAGAACCACTGGATTATAGAATAAAATGCAAAAATACAAAAGCAAATAATAGGACACAGTGGGGAGGAAAAAGGGGGGGAAAGTGAGGGGGAGAAAAAGGACATACTTCCTCTGTTGCAGTAGAAGGAAGCATTAACATTGAACCTCAACTTTTTGTTTTTCCATAATATTATAAACTAGCCATTTCTATAACAACAAATGAATCTAATCAGTAAAATCCAAAATCCCGCGCCCCCCCCCTTTTTTTTTAGTTATCAAATTTTTGACACCTTGCTAAGTACTGGTGGTACTCAAATATTGTCATGTCCTAAAAATGATACAATCTGCGAAAAGGTTGAAAAGCCCTGTCCTAGTGAATCATTGGTTTGCTTAATGACCGTGGGATTTCCTTAATGGCTGCTCCAAAAAACTGGTAAAATTTTATGATCATGTAGTGGTCATTATCATTAAAGATGTATATGGTGTAGCACCATGACATATTACACAACATTTTGGCAGGATTGAAACTGTCTATTCATTTGAGTCATCTAGATTTCCCATTCCTGTAGCAGCTACATTTTCTGAAATTCTGTCTTCCCACACTATACCTTGTTAATATTCTGTAAGCAAGCTATATTGTTTTAGCAATCTTTTGGTCCCTAGATCCTCAGTAGGCATATTTATCCTTTATTGTTGGAATATTCATGAGCAGGAAGAGTCATGTGGTAACTCAGTCAGCCAATGTGAAGAAAGTGCTACTGAGTCTGTGCAAAAGAGTATTGAGTTAGGAGCTGGATTTCCAGTCTCAGGTCTGTCTCTGTATCTCTCTGGAAGAAGTCTTCAATTGAGCTATGTTGCTGTAAAGAAGAATGTATGGTATTGTAAATATTTTTATATGAATATAAAGAAGTTATTTTGAATCAGCTAAATGCAGTCAACTGTGAGAGCTTCTGATTTATTTTTTCACCAATAGAGAAATTAAAATTCTCTAACAGGTTATGGGCCCAGAGCTTACTAAGGACTGCATTGTAATTTAAAGCTGGAAGAAATTGCCTGTGTTTAGAAAGTATAAGAACAAGGCAGAATTAGCAGAATGGCTGCAATGGAATTTAAGAAAAGCTGTGTGCCTCGTTTGGGCAAGAAGAATTACATTGTGTGGGCTGCAAAAATGGAATGTTTGCTGAAAGCTAAAGAGCTGTGGTATATTGTAGAAAATCCACCACAAGTATTTGCAGCTGTTGATCAGAAAAGTCATGATCAATGACTTATCTCATCTTGAATTTAGATGATGAACAATTTCTAAATGTTCCAAATTTAAAAACTGCAAAGGAGATTTGGTTAAAGTTGAGAGCTATGCACGTGAATGTTTCTGCATGCAATATAGTGCAATTGTCAAGAAAACTTTACAGGGCCTGTTTGCAACCAGGTGATCTGTGGAATAGCATTTAAATAAAATGCAAAGTTTATTTTTGGACTTATAACAACGTGGGATTAAATTCCCTGAGTCCCAGAAGGTTTTATTGGTGTTGAACAGTTTAGATAAAACCTGGGACACAGTTTCTGCCATATTTGAGTGTAAAGAAGAGCAAGACTTAAATTTTGAGGCTTTAAAGGCATGTTTGCTTAATGAACAAAAAAAGCGCCATTTTAAAAGCAGTCACGAGGAGGTGAAATTCCTGAGGAGGGGGTCCAGACTGCAAGTCTCCGAAGAAGAAACATTTTGCAGGCAGAGAGCTAAGCAAGAAAAGAATTGCTACATTTGTGGAGCAAACAACCATCTGAAAAGGAACTGTTTGCAAAGAAACAATTTGCAGCAAAGGACATTTGTACAACCAAAAAGGACTGCTTTGCAAAAGGAACATTTTGGTGTTGCAAAAGTTTGCTATAGCAACAACAGAGACAAGTGGCTAATAGATAGTGGGGCAAGTCAAACAATTGTTAATGACTCTGAATTATTTTGCAGGTTTGTTCCAATAGCACAAGTAGCTATGGCTTTGGCAAATGGCCAGAAAGCAAAAGTCATTGGAAGAGGTGATGTAAAAATTCCATATTTGGAATCAAAGTTTACCAATGTGCTTTGTGTACCTGAGGTGGAACATAATTTGTTAAGTGTGTCTAATTTAGACAAACAAGGTTTTGAGATCATTTTTGTAAATGGAAATTGTCTCATCAAAAGGAATGGGAATATTTGTGCAGAAGGTATAAAGGACGATAATCTATATGTATTGCAGGGACAAAAGGTTCAATGTTCCCATATATTTAAGAATGTTGCAGAGCATGATTCATGTGTTCATCTTCTACATAGAAGATTTGGCCATGCAAGCTTTAAGTTTTGCAGCAAATGCAAGATTTTGCAGAAGGGCTAATTGAAGGGATGCAAAACATATTTGGACTGTGCAGTATGCAAAGCATCGAAGTCAAAGGCATTCCCAGTTAGTAAATATAGCACAAGACAAACAAAAAAAGCTCTAGAGCTGGTCCATGCAGATCTGGTGGGACCTATGCAAGCCAGTTTGGGAGGAGCAAAATATGCACTGATAATTGTTGATGATTATAGCAGGTATTCGTTTTGCTACTTGCTTAGAGATAAGACAGAGGTGCTACAACAATTCAAACAGTGGGTAAGTTTTGTAGAGAAGGTACAGACAACAAGTGTGTCAGTTACAAACTGACAGAGGTACTGAATTTATGTCAACTAAATTCCACCAATGGTTGGGGCAGTTGGGGATATTACACAGACGTACAAATCCTTACACAGCAGCAGAGAATGGTGTAGCTGAAAGAAGGAATGGTGTTTTGCAAACAATGAAAGATTCATTATTAGAGGATTCTGGTATGAGCAGGTCATATTGGGGAGAAGCCATATTGACTGCAAATTATATAGTTAACAGGCTGTGGAGTTCCTCCATTAATAATACTCCATATGCCATTCTATATGGGAGTAAGCCATCACTGGCACATTTGAGAATTTTTGGAAGTACTGCATGGGTACATATTCCAAAAGCAATCAGAAGAAAGGGACAGCAAAAGGCAAGAAAGCTCAAGTTTGTGGGCTATGAGCCAAGGTCAAAAGGATATCGCTTTAGCGATGGAAGTAAAAGAATTATAATTTCAAGGTCTGCTAATTTTGCAGAACAAAATTGGGACAGAATTAATGCAAATTCTGGGTATGTCTCACTTAATGATGGTGATCTATTTAGTGACAATAACTCATCTAATGATGGAAAAATCATTATTGAAGATGTCGATGTTCAGGGAGGAGAGGCTGAACAAGACATGAAGCCAGATAGAATTGAGACACAGGAGCAGTTAATGCCACGTAGGTCAGAGCGATGTAACAAAGGAATTCCACCTGACAGGTATTCTGCCAGCAAGGTAAAGGTTTGCAATGTGTGGTATGAGCCAAGAAGTTATAAAGAGGTGTTGGCATTACCAAAAGCTGAACAAGAAAAATGGAAGGAGGCCATGCATAAAGAGATGAAATCCATGGGAGACCATGAAGTATTTAAATCAGTGACTTTGCCACAGGAAACCAAAGCTGTGGATTGTAAGTGGGTATATAAGAAAAAGGTATTGCCAAATAATGATGTACAGTTGTTGCAAGATTTAAATATTAATGTAAAAGAATCTGTAAAGGTATTTGAAGACAATGCTGCCTGTATAAAAATGGCAACTGGTGATAGGGTGAAGAACAGAAGTAAACATGTAGACATTAAGTATTGTTATGTCAGGGAAGCTGTAAAAGGAAAATTGATTAGTTTACATCATTGTTCTTCTGAGGATAATTTGGCAGACATGATGACTAAGCCATTGGGTAGTATTCACTATGGAGAATGTATTAATAGGTCTGATGTCTCTTCCTGTCATGAAGGGAGGAGTGTTCGAATATTCATGAGCAGGAAGAGTCATGTGGTAACTCAGTCAGCCAATGTGAAGAAAGTGCTACTGAGTCTGTGCAAAAGAGTATTGAGTTAGGAGCTGGATTTCCAATCTCAGGTCTGTCTCTGTATCTCTCTGGAAGAAGTCTTCAATTGAGGTATGTTGCTGTAAAGAAGAATGTATGGTATTGTAAATATTTTTATATGAATATAAAGAAGTTGTTTTGAATCAGCTAAATGCAGTCAACTGTGAGAGCTTCTGATTTATTTTTTCACCAATAGAGAAATTAAAATTCTCTAACATTTATATTTAAAGTTTGGATGTTATAATTCAATATTTTGATTTTGTCTATTGCTATTTGCCACTTAAAATCTTCTGGGATTGGGACAAATTATAAGCATTGCAAATAAGTTTTCTTAATTGTCATGCAATTTTTTTTGTAGAATGTTTTGCAAGAAGTGATCCACCAAAAAAGAATGAAAATTGCAGAAAAAAATCAAAATTTAGTAAGTAACATTCATGCAAAGTTCAGTAATTGTAAGAATCTAATTACAAAAGCTTGTAAGATTCAGTATATGCTTATCCATAATAGTTTACATACCATATAATGTGAGTGTCGTGGTTCCAACAGATGAAACTCTTCGAAGAACTTCGGGGCATTGTTTACCTTATCATCTCTTATTTCAAAAAAACCTTGGTTCTCATCCTAGTTACAGTATTGTTATGTCTAACTAAACTCCCATGATCATTCCTCCTCCTCCCTCCCAGTATCATCTAATTCTAACTCTAATTCTAAGAGTAAAAAATAAGAAGGAAAATGGCTGCATCTCCATGTTGTCAAAGCAAGAACATTCAATGTTTGCATCATTGACATCTGGCCCCCCTTACAAAAAGGACAGATCTTGTAACGTAAACAAAGGCATATGTTAGGGACTGTCTCTTAGTTTGTTACGGTGTTTCCTATAGAACCTTTTGATGAGACTGTCGGCTTTCACATCGCTAGCTTTCACCCAAGTGGCTTCAGACAGTGAGTATCCCTTCCATTGTACTAGGTACTGCAATTTCCCTTTAAAAATTCAAAAATCAAGAATACGCTTTACTTCATAGTGAGTCTGACCCGCTACCACAAGGGGTCCGGGTGCCTTCTTAAGGGGAGATCTTAAAATGGAGCCCTGAAAAGGTTTCAACAAGGTGCAATGGAAGACAGGGTGCACTCTCCCTAAAAGCCTAGGGAGTTTTAATTCTACTGTGACCAGGTTAATGATCTTTATGATGGGGAAAGGCCCCAAGAATTTTAGTCCTAATTTCTTGCTGAGTAATTTGAGGCGCAAATATTTAATCGACAGATAAACCTTTTCCCCAACTTGGAATGTTCTTTGAGGAGCCTTCTTTTTATCTGCCTGATTTTTATAGGTCTCGGAAGTCTTTTTTAAAGCAGTCTTCGTGGCTCTCCAAACTTCTTCCCACCCCCTCACCCATTGAATAAGTGTCTGAGAAGCGGAGGGCACTTGAGGGTGTTCAGGTATCGGGCTGAACTCTTTTCCTGTGGCTACTCTGAAAGGTGTGAAGCCAGTGCTGCTATGAACAGAGTTATTGTAAGCCACCTCTGTAAAAGGGAGGAGATCGGTCCAGTCAGTCTGTTGGTAGGAAATATAGCACCTGAGATATTGCTCCACCATCTTGTTGGCGGCTTCCGCAGCCCCATTACTAGACGGGTGAAAAGCAGATGATAGACTTTGAGATGATATAATTAATTTATGAAAGCTCCTCCAAAACTTAGCTGTGAACTGTACCCCCCTGTCCGAAATTATTAATTTAGGGGCTCCATGCAGCTGGTAGATATGTTTCAAGAACAGTTTAGTCAGTCGTTGGACAGACAGGAGTCCTTTGCAGGCGATGAAGTGGGCCTGCTTTGAAAACAGGTCTATCATAGTCCAGATGTCTGTATGGCCTCTACTTTCAGGGAGGTCTACTATAAAGTCCATAGCAATTTCTTCCCATGGTTGAGAAGGGTCCGCCACTGGCTGCAGTAACCCAGGGGGGTCTTCCTTGAATTCTTTTCATGGTGGCACATACAGTACAACTCCTGACATAATTTTCCACATCCCGTTTTAACCCCAGCCACCAGAACTCTCGGCGGATGAGATGTAGAATTTTTAAATAACCAGTGTCCAGCCTGTTTTACGTCATGGCTGTGTTTGAGAGTGTTAAGAAGAAGGGCTTCTGGCAAGTACAATTTCTCCCTCCCCCCTTGTATGCCAAACTATCCCTGCATGTTAGGGAGGTTTGATTGTCCCTGAACCATTGATCAGTGAGGAGCTCTTGTTTTATTTTCTTTGCCCCAGGGTCATCAGGATTAGGGGCCCTACAAGGCATAAATTGAGCAGCAGTTTGTGGATTGGAGATAATTGTCTCATTAATCTCTTTGCGCTTGCTTTTGTATGGGCAGTCTGATTAGAGCAGCGGTTCTCAACCTATGGGTCGCGACCCCATTTGGGGTCGATCGACCATTTCTCGGGGGTCGCCAAACAAGGCGATCCGCCATTTTTCCCCCTCAGGGGGCGGCGCCGCGCATGTGCGCCGCGCATGGGGGCGGCACCATGCATGCGCGCCACGCATGGGGTGGCACCGTGCATGCGCGGTGCACATGCGTGGCGCGTTTGTGTGATGGTGGTCGCCGTCACACAAACGTTGAGAACCACTGGATTAGAGCATCGGCTAGGAAGTTTTTCCCTCCTGGAATGTACTTTAGAGTGAAGTGAAAACGATTAAAATCCTTTAGTGGGGGGGGTTTCAAACTCACAGCATTCAGACCCTTATAATCCATGCAGAGATGAAGAGACCCATCTTTTTTTTCTTTAAACAACACGGGCTCCCACAGCAGACTTGAACCCCTCTCTAGGTTTTTGTCCACGTATCGCTGCATCTCCATTTCGAGGGGGGTCATAGCGTATATTCTCAGTCGTGGGAGTTTGGCTCCTGGCAACAGTTCGATGGAGCAATCATTGGGTCGGTGGGGAGGCAGGGTGTCGCATTCCTTCTCACTAAATGCCTCCACTAGGTCCCGGTACTTCCTGGGGATGAGTGGCTCGCCTGGTGGCAGTGAGGCAGCCAAGTGCGCTTGCTCGTTGGGTGGGTTAAAGTTCCCTTTAACGTTTGTTGAATAAATGGGGGGCTTATTCCCTTATTCCACAGTCCTTATTCCTTCTCCCACCAAATAAACGGCTTCCATTTGTCCAGCCAGGCTAATCCTAGGATCACAGCCTCAGTCGTTTTTGGAGTCACCAGGAAGCGAATGAACTCCCAGTGCTCATCTATTTCTAAGCGTAGAGGCTCAGTTAATTGCGTGAATAAAGTCCCTCCCATCAGAAAGTCATCGGCTTGCTCAAACCTCAGGGGTTTGGAGAGCAGTTTTGCTCGTGTGCCCATTTTCATGGCAAATGGCAAGCTAATGACACACCGGGAGCATCGAGAATCGACTAGCACTTTTAAATCTACCTGTGCCCCCGTCTTAGGGATTATGAGTTTGGCAGGTAGAGAGAAAGGTGGGATGTGTTGACTCACCATTGCTGTTGAAAGAGAGTGGAGCAGGGGCAGATCCAGCCTAAGTCCCAGCATCCTCCTGTGTGGGTGATGTGAATTGGGCAACAGGTTCCTGTATGATCCAGTTGGATTTCTCTCTCGTTGGCTGCTGGGCAGGTTTTTTTTCCGTTGCTAGTCCCGATCTGTTCTGCTGTTGGGAGTAGGGGACTGGGCAATTTGGTGCTCGATGTCCGTGCTGTCCGCATCGGCGGGCCTGCATGTGGCCTGGGACTTTCACCAGCCGCAGCAGTTGGAGGTTTTCTGGGGGGTGGTTGCCACTTTGGTTACTCTGGCCTCAACTCGGCTTCAGGTGGGGGAATCTTCCTATAGTGCAGTGCTTCTCAAATAGTGGGGCGGGCCCCCCAGGGGGGCGCGAGGCTCCGTAAAGGGGGGCTCGTTTGACCTCGGCAAATACTGTCATATTGGACGCACGTGACACACACAAAGGACCCAATTGGATAGACAGTCGCGCAGGGGGGCGCGAAATGTTTTCTTCTTCCTAGGGGGGCATGACAGAAAATAATTGAGAAGCACTGCTATAGTGGGTGAGCTGAACATCTAGCCTTACCGCTGTCTGGTACCATTCCTGCAGCTGATCAAGTACTGCTTGATAGATGCAGGCCTGAGAGAGGTAATCGTCTAATCCTTCTTTCAAGTGATTAGACTAGGGACTGCTCAGGCCACCTCTCTATCTGACCAGCTGTCTTGCAAAACTCTCGCACGTACTTCAAAGCAGGCCTGCCGGCTTGCTTTATCTTATGATATGTTCTGCTTTGAGGGCAATGGATGGGTCCTCAAACCTTGCTCTCAATCCTAGGAGGAAGAGATGGGGGTCCTCCAATTCGGGGGCTTGCTCATCATATAAATTATTCAGCCATCCGGATGCCTCTAAGCTGGACGCAATCACGTTGACCATAGCAGCTGGGTCCGGGTAGAGATAGGCACAGTGGTTCAAATGAGAGCGCACTTGGTTGAGAAAAGAAAATCAGCTTCTCTGGGTCCCCATCAAAGGTTGCTCTATAAGGTGGAGCAATCAATGGTTGCTAGCCCCCCCCCCCCCCCACTGTGGCTATTGCACCCCAGTTGCTGCTCACCCCACCCTGGCAGCTGCCGCATTCCCAGTGGTTGTATGTTCGGGGGCTGTTGCCACCCCTCCTGCTGTTGCTGCATTACCGGCAGCAGTGGCATACTCAGTTGCTGTAGGCCCCCCTGCATTCCCCCTAGTGCTGGTTAGCAGGGAGCTATGGCATCCTCGGTTGCTGTAGGCCTCCCTGCAGCCTTGGAGGGGGTTGTTGCTGGATCCCTATCATTTGTGGGCCCCTCAGTAGTTGCTGTATGTTCAGGGGCGGCGACCAACCCCC